CAATCACCCTTCTATTGCTATACTTGATTTTTTTGCTAGTCTGATGGGTGTGTAGTGGTTTAATTTGTATTTCCCTGATTTCTAATGATTGCACATCTGTCTTGATACAGAATTTTGCTTAAAACTTTTTTTCTTTGTTCTTTGTAAGTTGTCTGTGTTATAATTCCTTTTTCACTCCTTGTGATACTTTTTTAAACTCTTGAGTCTTTTGATGAACAGACATTCTTAATTTTAATGTAGAGTAATTTAAGTCTTTTTTCCATTTCCTGTAAGTTGTTTAAGAAATCCTTCCCTACATGAGTTCACGAAGATAGTGCTTTATGTTATTACCTAAAATCTGTAGTTTGTCTTTCACATATGGATCATTAATCTATGTTAAATGTAGAATTGACTTTAATATGGAATTGACTTTTTTGGCATGATGTGAGGTAGAGCTTCAATTCCCTTCTTCCTTTATGATTGGCCCCACATTCCTTACAGAAGTCTTTCTTTTCTTCATTAACTACAGTGTTACTTCTCATCAAGTGTTCTTATGGGTATCAGTCTGTTTTTGGATTTTTATTTAATTATACTGGCTATTGTCTCTTTTTGTCAACACGAAAGTGATTTGCTTTGAATTTTAAATACAAATTTTGATATTTAAAAAAGACAATCCTACTTTTCTGCTTCAAGATTATCTTGACTATTCTTGGTCCTTTGAATTTATCATGTGTATTTTAGAATTACTTTATCAAGCTCCCTGAAAATTAAAGCTGGTTCTACTTGTCATCAGTGTCAGAATTGATGTTATCTCTTCTAAACCATGAAGATTATATAGCTTCATTTAGATCTTTTGTTAGAAAGATCTGAAGAAAGTATTATGTTTCCCTTTAGAGGTCTTGTTATATCCTGTTGGATGTATGTTAGGTATCTAATATTTCTGATGCTATTGTAAATATTTTTAAAACTTCGTTTTCTGACACTTTATGACCAGTACATAAAATATAAATAATTTTTACATTATAATTTATCTTTACAGTCCTCTGCTCTACCAACTGAGCTACTTTAGATTCTTCTGGATTTTCTGTGATCTGTGAACAACAATAATTTTGCCAATTTTCATACTTCATATATCTTTCTTGCCTTTATTGCAGTGGCCAGGACTGCCAGTACAGTACTGAATGTCAGGGGTGAAAACAGGTATCCTTTTTTTGTTGTTGTTCCCTATCTCACAGAAAAAGACTGTTTTGGGTGGGTAAACTAGCCTTGCATTTCAAGAATAATTTTATCGTGCTAGATTTGTTAACGTTTTGTTTTGAATTGTACGATCATTGTGTAAGTGATGTCTGTTCATAATTTTTCCTTGTGTTCTTGTTAGGACTTGGTGACCAGCTTATACTAGCCTCAGGAAATGAGTTGGGGAGTCGCCCTTTTCCCCCTCTCAGTTTCTAAAAGACTGACTATTCTAGGTGTATATATTAGGGAAGATATTTAACTGAGGTTTTAAGGTTGCTTCTACTTTGTTTTGCTTAGATACATGTGGGACCTTCTCACTTTATCCTCTGTTCTTCTCTCTGTAATTTTTGCCTATTTGTGTGTGCGTGTTGCATTCTATATACTTTTCAGATCTCACTTCCATGTCACTAATACTTTCTTCAGTTGTATGGTCTTAGGAAATTATTTTTAGGGATTTTTTTCAATTTCTGGTTGTTCCTTAGAATTTTTAAAGCCACTTTTCTGTTTCTGGAAATACATTAAACATGCTTTTATATCCTGTGCTGACAATTTCACTATATAGCCAAGTTTCTGCTGTTATTTCTCTTGACTCTTGAACATGGGACAACTTGTATTTGCTTGTGTGATCAAAGAAGTTATACTGTGAGTTGCCCATTTTCTTTGAAGTCTCATAGGTGGGACTCCAAAAGGCCTCACCTGAGGGTAGATTCTCCAGGGAGTTTTTCTTTCATGTGACTAGAGCATTGCCAGTTTGGGACCACAAGATTTGTAGAATGGGGCAAAGGGTAGTCTCCTGATTACAGTTCTTACGGGATTTCGTTCTGCTCTTCTTAGGTCTAGCATTTAAGGTCACCAACATTTCTTGTTTTTATTTTGAATTCACTACATTATTGCAAGTACAGACTTTTAGGGGCTCAGCTTTATGGGGACATCTCCTTTTAGCTGCTCTACTTTGGGGCAGTGGGACACTGAGCTCAGTAAATATAAGGGCAACATTTGCCCCCCTCCAGGTTTCCACACCCACCTAGTTTTTGGCTTGAGTGTTCCTTGTATTCTCTCCAGGTCATGGAAACAACAAGGCCATTTTAAAATCTTACCCAGCATGGCTAGTTTCGAGGATTATCAAGAAACCAGGTCTGCCAGGTTGCCAGAAAAAGAAGTTCTTCTTGATCTATATGACAGAGTGACTGATTGTACTGCAGAGCTTCCCAACATTGATTTACACTTGAGTTTCAGTGATAGACTGCTTGAGCATGGGCTTATCAGGTCGGGGCATTCATGCTTTGTATGTGGCTGGATTCTGTTTGCTATTATTATATTTGTATTTATGCAAATTCTTAAGTATATATTTTTAATATTGATATATTTCTTACATTTTAATGTGTTAGCTTTTATTGTTGCAGTTTTGCTGGTTAGCTTCCTAAGTTAAAAAGCTTTGAGATTGTCCCTGTTGCTGCCTGTGTTGCACTTTGAAAAGTTTTCTCGGTCGTGTCCCTCTGCCTCCCAGACGTGGAGCCCCAGCCCAGAAGGTAAGGCAGCCTTAGGCCTCCTCCCTAGAGGTGGCAGGCATGAGCGTGAAGCACTGGGGAGAAGCAGCATTTCCTGGGCCACTTGGCTTGGGCCTCCCGGTTTGGTCTCACGACTTGATGCTGCAGCTCATCACCTGCTGCCCCAGGCAGTGTCTCCTTGGCCCTTTACTCTGGGAGGGCTTCCTAACTGGAAGTCACATCTATTTACTGAGAACCTACTGTGTGCTAGGCACAGGGGATGCTATAGCATATCAGACACACAAATCCCACTCTGATGAAGACACAGTCCATTGGAGGGGGCGGGGGCAGACAGTCAGCAAATAAGTGAAATACGTGGTTTGCCAACTGGTGCAGTGCAGAAGGAGGAGGCTGTTTGTCGGTAGCTTCTTACACTTTTGGATGCAGCAGGTCAAGCCCACATTGTTCCTTGCCACTCCCCACTTTTTAAAGCACCGCCTTAGCTCTTTGGTTACACAGTTGCTCCTCCATATAAATTTCACAAGCATGTCAAGTTTTTGAAAAATACTGGTAGGATTTTCATTAGGATCAAAATTAGTAGATTTGGGAAGAGCCAACATAATAGAATTTGCTCATCACCAAGATGGCATTTTATATATATATATATTTATATATATATTTATATATATATTTACATCCTATCATTCAGTAAAGTTTATTAAAAAAAAAAAACCTGATTTTGTTAGCTGTATTGTGAAGGCCCTATGACATATGTCATGGTACCTTTCTGTTACACATCCTTCTAGCTCACGGCTGGTAGAGGAGAACCCACTTAGGAATCTTGTGTTTAACTGTCAGAGGGTCTTTCTTGAATGTCATTCTGAGGTCACTACCTGCTGAGAGCTCTGCCCGCTCTATTGCAGGCTCTCCAGCCCCTTCCTTGCCTCCGTGGACTGGCCTTTGACATACACAGGCTTTGCCCATGCAGCTCACCCTCTTTCCTGGCACGCCCCTTTTCACTGCCCTCTGGGTCTGTCCTGGACATGCCTCCCTCCCCTTCTCTGAAGTGAGAAGCATGCCTGCAGCTGGACTCTCCATTGCCTGCCTCCCTACAGATGGGAATGCAAGGCCTCAGAAGGAAGGAGTGGGGTGGGGCTAATTCTGCAAGTGCTGGCAGTGGAAGGATGATCCAGGGGATCAGACCAGTCACTCTGTCAAAGGCCCTAGGAGCTAGGGAGCTGAGTTGCCTGGCAACCCTGGGAAACAGAAGCAGCCCAGATGATGACTGTCCAGCAACGATGGAACTCACCAGGACCTTCTCTGAAGGTGGTGGGCACATTGGCATAGCCCCTAACCACCCTAGGCCAAGCTGTAACCCTTACCCTAGGGTCTGATCCAGCCCTTTGCATCCTTCCTGGTCTAGACTCCCATCTCACAGGTCCTCTACTTCACCCCTTGTCTAAACAAACCCATCACTTCCTTGGCTCTGAGCAGAAACAGTTTCACATTCCTCTCCCATGTGGGCTGTCACCAGCCCTACATTAGCCTGGCCTTACCCAGTCAGAGTCAGGACAGGGCCAGGGCCACTGAAAACTCCAAATCCAAGGCTTTTTTGTTACTTGTCAGCAAGTGCTGGCTCATGAACAGTATTAAGAAGGTACATTCCACTGTTCTGGTGCAGCCTGGGGCACAGTCCTGCCTCCCCCTCTCACCTTTTTTTTTTTTTAAAGATTTATTTATTTATGCATACAGAACTGGGTACAGGCCAGAGGTGCAGGGGCTGTGAGAGGCTTCACCAGAGACAGAGTGGGGAGCAAAACAGGCCGACTGACGGAGTACACTGCTGCGGGGAGCACCAGGTGGGTCAGGAGAGGTCTGCCGTGCCATGCGGGTCAGGAGAGGTCTGCCGTGCCATGTGGGTCACCGCTGGGACGGGATCGAACTAGTGCTGAAGTGACTTTAGCTTTTTAGTGCTGTGCTTTAATCTGTGCCACCAGGGAGGGCCCCTACCCACCCTTTCTTGAGTGGCACCCTAAGGCGTTTTACTTGTATTTTTACCAGTTTTTTTTATATAAAAATAAAACAGCTCAGTGTGAAAAGAAAACCCTGTGATGTAGTTTGGAGGGGGGCGGGGGTTGGAGTAGGGGTTCTGGGGAGCTGGAACAGTGGCCACAGTGGCCCAGAAACAGGACAAACCCAGATGACGGGAGTTGACCCAGTTGGTGGGTCTTCTTCACCCTTGGACTGCAGGACATAACCCGAAAGCAGACACATGGTGAGAAAGAACAGTAACAGGATTTATTTACACAGAGAGAGGAGGGAGAGGGAAAGAGGAGGAGGAGGGAGGAGCGTGGTGAGGTGGGGGAAGAGACAGAATTTGTAGGCTGGCATGCGGCCAGATGCCATCTGTCCTACCCCAGATAGTGTCCACTGAACAGGGACTGGGTCCAAACCAATGCTGTCTGTGGTAGGCCTGTGGCTTCTCCACAGACACCCTCCTCACAAGCATTTTAACAGCTAAAGCCCCGGCAGTTTTAACTACCCAAAGCTCAGCAGTTTAACCACCATCCAGGTAATGGGTGTGTTGGGGCTTGGGAAGGGGGGAGCCTGGAAAGCTCCACCTTCTGCCATTAAGTTGGCTAGGAGTGCAACCCACTGGCTCAGAGGTCGCTCCTCGCTGTATTTCTTAGAGCCCAGTCCCCCACTGTTGGCTGAAGCCATTGGGACAGGGTCTGAGGAGAGGGCAGGGCACAGCTGACAGGAGGGCCAAACTCAGACAGGGACACCCTGTCTTCATCATTTTTTAACTTCCACAGACCATAGAAATTTAAGCAAAATAGTTATTTTATATATATTTATATGTCATATATATAAATCAGGCAAATAAAGAGTTCAAGGGGTGCTGAGATACCGTCCTCCAGACCCGGCTGCAATGGGAACTGGGTCTCTGTACCAGCCCAGGATGGGCCAAGAGTTTATTCATTATTGCTGATTTGGAGCCTGGTTCTGGGGTGGAGAGCACCTGCAGGCCCTGCCCCCTGCCCTTTCCTGTCTCTCTGGGGCTGCCCAGCAAGGCAGAGGGCTCTTGCCCTCAGATTCACATGGTTGTCTTCAGCTTCCCTCCCTAGTGGTGGGTGGGGTTATAGCTCCGGAGACAACTGAATTGTGCTCTCATGGGCCAGGGTGAGGCTCCTGTTTCCTTTTCTGTGGGCTTTCTGGGCTCTTAGGGCACAGGCAGCTTAGATACAAACGGGGTGGGAGTGGGCTTGCTAAATTGACCTAGAAAATACTCCCAACTCAAGGGGTCTGGCTGGTTTCCTGATGTCTTAAAAAGAAGGGGCTTTTTGCCAGGACACTTTTGTGTCAAGAAAGCACACTTAGAAAGTCTTCTGCTAAGTGTTGTGCTAAAAAATATTTACTAAAACATCTTGGCTGGGCACAAATGGAGATAGTTTTTCTAAAAAAGTCAAAAGCAGCTCCCTAGGAGGGGCCAGTTCCTCCCTGGATGGGGGCTGGTGACATGGGCGGTCCATGGCCCACTAGCCTGCCTGAGTTGTAACTGGGAGCTGGGGTCTGGTTGGAGCCCAAGTCCGTAAGTGAAGGTAACATGGGCACCTGGGGGCTGGAGAGAACCTGGCTCAGCACTTCCTCCTTCCAAGGGGAGCCCACAAAAAAATGTTTAAAAGGCGGGGAGAAGAAAAGGTAAGTGTGTGTGTCTTGGGGGGAAGGGCCACTGAGTACTAAGTCGAATGCATTCAAGAAAAGGTGGACCAGGCTGTGCAGGCGCCTGTATTTGCAGGAGCGGGTATCACTCAGAAGATGTTGGGGCACATGTGCCAGTCCTGCCTCTCCTTGGCCTCCCAGTAGCCGCCCTTGTACATGCAGGCCATCTCCCCGGTCAGCGGGTCCAGCCTCTTCTCGAACCACAGCGGCATGTACACATCGACCTCCTTTTCTGCTGGTGGGCAGAGCAAGCGGCTGTGGGCCATTGGCTGCCCCTTGGACGCCTCACTCCCGTCCCCTGGAGCCCGGGGACACCACCCCTTCAGCCTCTAGCCCCATCCCTCCCCGCCCCACTCCGACCCCCCCCTTCAGTGAGGGCACCCTGAAGTCTCCTCAGGCTCACCATCCTCAGAGCCGCTGCAGCCCCGAGAGCAGGCCTCCAGCCGGCGGCGCCTCGACAGGCGCTGCTTGTCCTCCAGCCGCTGCTTCTCCACGTTGGCCTGGTCCCAGTGCCCCTTCTCCATCAGCCGCTGGTCGGGCCGCAGGCGGCTGTCGGTGGGCGCCACGCCGTCCTCGTGCTCGTTGAGGGTCAGGGCCAGCTCCGAGAAGTAGTACATGTTCTCCGCGTTCTCCCTGCCAGAGGGCACCGTGAGCCAGCGCGCGCCCATCCCTCCCCGGTCCACACTGACCCCGAAAAAAGCTGCTGGCACCCCTCTGCAGTTTCCCGCGCCGCGCACCCACCAACTTGCATGTTTTGCCGTGTTAAACTTGTCTGGGGGTTTGCATATTTTCCCCGGGCTTTCACGTGCATCTGCAGTTATTTCTAACATCGCACCAGCGCCCCTTCTGCGGGCCCCTTCTCTGGGTTCCCAATGTGCGGGCACGGGAGCGGCCGTGTCTCTCCATTGGTTGAAGAGGAAAAGGTTGATTCTGTATTTCAGGTGGTTCTGTTTATCCATACTGCTTTTATATCCTTTTCCTCTGTTGAGGCTGTTTTACTGTTCTTTCTACAATTTCCTGAGATGGAAGCTTAGTGCAGTCTTTTCAGCTTTTTCCTTTTTCTAATTTGTACATTTAAAGCTACACATAACCCCCAACTCCTGCAGTAGCCAAATCTCCCACCATTTTGATGTGTTATTTCCATTATTAGTTATATTTTCTTAATATCCATATCTGCTGACCTATGGATTAGCTGGACGTTTTAAGTTTGTAAACATTTTGTCAGCTTTATTTCAAGTGTAACTGCCTTATAGTAAACCGTGGACTTGATAGAAGTTCAGTTCTTTGAAATTTCCTTTATGGCCCAGTATTGGGTCAATTTTTGCCAATGTTCCATGTGTAACTGAAGAGAAGGTGTTTTTCACATTTGTTGAATGCACTGTCTTCCCTCCCTCTCCCAGGGTGTAGGCCCTATTATTCAAACTTTGCGTATTTATTTTTTGCCTCTTTTCACTACTTAGAAAAGTTGTTGAAATTTTCCCCTTTTGTTGTTAATTAGTCCATCGTCCTTATATTCCTGCCAACTCGGACTGTGTATGTATTTTGGGACTATGTCTTCATAGAGTTAAAATTTAAAACTTTCTCCTGGTGAACATCATGTCCTTTCTAGGGACAGTCTTTTTGTTTTAAAGTATGTCTTGTGGTATTAATATTACTATTACTACGATGACTAATTAATTGCAAATATTAAGAGCTGCAGCAGCTTTTGACTTGTATGTCTATTGACACATCTTTTTGCATCTTTTAATTTCAATCTTTATTTTCTTACTTCAGTGGCTCACCTGTAAACCATATATATTTGTGTTTAAAAAAAATTTACCTGAAACTTTGTACCTATTACAATAGGAGCGCTTAATGTAATTACTATTATGTTAGAGTAGAATCTTCCCTTTTCTTATTTTGCTCCTTTGTTTGGAGCTCAGGTGCAGTTTTAGGTTAGCCATAATCCTTTGTCCATGACATCCTCTCTTGGTTCTTACATTGCCTTTGATTAATACAAACTTTCCATTCTAAGGAGAAGGTAGAATCCTGACCCAAAAAATGCAGCTCTATGTTCAACCATATTCACTAACCCATCCCCTTCCCAGGAGCCATCAGCAAGACTCCTGGGTTCATTAGTCCTCTGCTTTCCTTTTCAATATAATTTTATTGCATCTTTACAGTTAGTCTTAAGTGTGGATATTTGTTTTTAGCTGTATAAATGGAATCTCATGATGTATGTAACCTTTGGGGCTTTTTTTTTTTTAACTTAGTATTACATTAAGATCTAGAGCATGTTGCTGTGGTTCCTTTATATCAATTATTATACACTAGCCCCTTATGTGAATATACCACACTGATCTCCAAAAAAATTGGGTTGTTTTCATGCCTCTGCTTTGGGATAATCTGATGCACGTTTCTATTGTACGTTTGCAGAGTGTCTCTTGAGTATACACTTGGAAGTGGAATTCTGGGCTGCACCCTGGGATGCTCTTATTTAGAGGTGAGACCACACTGCTTTCCAGCTAGGTGCACCACCTCGACACTTCCACTGGCAGTGTCTTTCCAAGTCAAATGAATGTAAAATCATATCCTATGTGTTTTGATTTGCACTATCCTGTCCACTGACAATATTGGTCAGTTCTACATGACTGGCCAAGTTTCTTCTATGAAATTGTTGTTCATAACTCTTGCCATTTTTCTAGTGGAATATTTTTGCTTTATTGATTGATTTTCAAGGTCTTTACATATTTTAAAATGATTTTTAATTGTGGCTAAAATACTCTTAATGTATTCTTGATTCTATTACCCTTGTCAGGTGGATCATTAAACTGCCTTGTATTGAGCTAAACTTTCTTTGAATGAACACAAGTATTTTAATATTGTCAAATATATCAATGCTTTTGTGTCTTCTTTGAGAATTTTCTTAAGAGCTAAAAGATAGTTATACTTTCTGCTTAGAGTTTAACTCATTGTTTATCAGCAAGTCAAACTTCCTAATTATAAGACCTTTTTTTGGAGCTGATTTTTGCATAACGTGAGGAAGGGGTTTAGGTAATCTTTTCCACATGGTAACCATCTCCCCAGATCCTTTTACAGAATGACAAACAGTCCCGTCTGCCACCTGATCTGACATGCCACCTTTGGCATAGCCCAGTCTTTAGGGATAATGAGCTGTTTCCAGGCTCATTATTATGTCCCACAACAGCTTCAAAATAAGTTCTGATATCTATAAAGACAAGTCCTCTTATTAATTATTCTATCTAAATGTCCTGGCCCTTTAGTACTATAAATTTTAAAAACCAGAAGAAAATCACAATGGGATTTTATTTGGTCTACTAACTCTCTTACTAATTATTTCCTACACAGGAACATTAATCTTTCTCCATAGAATTGGCTCTTTTTAAATATCTTAGTAAAGCTTTATAATTTTCTGCAGAGTTCTTGAATATAGCATTTATTACAATATCACTGATGTCCTAAATTGTATTTTTTAGTTGTTTGCCATTAGTGTAAAAATGCAACTCACTTTTACATAATAATCTTAAAATGCTTTTTCTGAATCTATTCAACTATATTAATATGAAAAAATTATGGATTTTTAATATAAAATCAATCCTGCATATTCAGGATAAAATATGATTGAAGAAGGTTTGTTATACACTATTGGATTGGATTTGGGTGTCTTGTTTTGGAATTTTGCTTAGAGAGATTCATGAGTGAAATAGGAGAAAAATTTTATTTTCCCATTAATGTCTCAGCCTGGCCTATGTTAGGGTTATACTGATCTCACAGTATAGGAGAGTAGAATTCTTTTTCTATGGCCTGGAAGATTTTTTTTATATAAAATTGAGATGATATATTTCTTGAAAATTTGGTAGAATTCACCTATAAAATTATCTGGGCTTTATGTTTTATTTGTGGGAATTTTTTAACTACTACTTCAGTTTCCTCAATTATTATGGCACTTTGCAGGCTTTTTATTTATTTTTTAAGATTCATTTATTTATGCATACAAGAATTGGGGTACAGCCCAGGGTGCAGAGGTGAGATATTTCACCAGAAATCCAGTGAGGAGCAAAACAGGCAAACTGATGAAGTGTACTGCTGAGGGAAGCAGTAAGTAGATTAGGAGAGGTCTGCTGCTCCATGTGGGTCAGCTCCCTGGCTGCAGTAGCTGCAGACAGCGTCATAGTGCCTGTCCTTTAGCCTGTTGTGTCACCAGGGAGGGGCCCAGGATTTTTGTTCTTGACTTAGTTCTTATAAGTTATATTTTTCTAAGAATTGTTCCTTCCCATCTAAATTTTTAATTATTTCTGTAGACCTTATATGTCATATATAACTCTTCATTAATACCATTTATTGCTATATTCTCTTTTGATCAATCTTACCAGTAGTTTTATATCAGGTATGTTTTCTCAAAGAATCAATTTTTGGCATTTCAGACTTTTTGTTTTATTAATCTCTGCCGTTATTTTTAAAGTATATTTTCTTCTTTGTTTAGGTTTATACATTTTCTAACTTATTAGAAAGGAAACTCAGAAAAAAACAAAATGAATGAGCTTATATACTATTTAAGGCAATATATTTCTGTTGAAACATTGCCTTTAATATCTTTTCATTATTATTCCATCCAGTTTTTATGTATTTTCATTATCATTCAGTTCTAGTAATTTTTATTCTAATTTGTTATTATACTTATGAGTTATTTAGCAACTCAAAACTTTTCCCATTGTCCCTAACTTCTGTTTAAGAACCTTATGAAAAACAGGTTATAGTCTGGATGCTTCTCTGTAACTTGGTTGAGGCTTTCTTTTAGTCTAGTACATCACTGACTTTTGCAAACATTCCAGGTCTAACTGGGTAAAATTTCTCTGATTGTTGAATCCATAAGTATGTGTATAACCTGTGTTATTTCAGTCTCCTTTATATCCTTGTTGTTTTATTCTCCTCTCCCACCTGACTTATCAATAAGTGAAAGCGGTATATTGAAATCTTCCACAGTGATAAAGATTTAACTATCAATTTAAGGGTTTTATTATCAGTTAAGTGTTGTATATTTTACAAGCATAAAATATTTGAAGCTATTACACTTTGTTGAAGAATTCAACCTTCTGTCATTACGTAGTAGTTCTTTTGACCCTAAGTAATGCATTTGTTTACAAATCTGTTTTCCTGGTATGGTAAACATAGCTTTACTTTTTTTGGTTAGTATTTTTATGACATGTCTTTTACTTTCAACCATTACAAATCTTTATGTTTTGACTATCTTAGAAAGTGTGTATATCTGGAGTTTTAAAAATCCAGTCAGTATTTTTACTTTTTAATTGTTGGATTGCAGCCATTTATATATGTATTATGCTTGAACCTATTTCTATGTTAATTTACTGGGGATTTTTCTTTTTTGCAATTTTAGAACACTTGATAAAAAATATTACCTCAAATTGTATAGCCACTGAAAGTACAGTTATCAAAAAAAGCACACATTTCACTTGGCTCTCTGGGCCTGGTGTGCTTTGGCATTCCTGCTTCCTGCAGGATTATTCCATTCTTATCAGCATCAGCTTTACCCCTTTTAGTCCACTGGGCCCCTTCTCCGTCTTTGCAGAGGCCTTTTTAGGGTCTGGCTGGGGGAGAGGGGTAGGAGGAGCAGATAACCTTGTGACTCTACTCCGTGGCTTGTCAGTCACCTAGGTTTTGTCTCCTTTGGCATCCCTGTAGGCCTTTCTCCGGGGTGTGATGGCCACTAGGAAGTAGGCCCTGGACACTGTCTGCAGCAGGTGAGCTGTGGTCGGGGCAGGTCATCGCCTCTTCTTTTAGGGTTTTTATTTGTTCCAGTTTTTCTTTTTAATTTTAATTATTTTTAAAATCTTACATATTATGTCTGTTCCTTAGCATTCTTAGCATTCTTTCAAATACCATCATGTTACCATTATCTACATTTTAAATTCTGTGTTATCACGAGAATATTTTCCTATGGGCTCAGTAGTCAAGGCCACCATTTACTTTGTGTCTTTTACAGCATTTTCTGGATTTTCCCCCTCTATGTTAGTAAGTACAATTTTCTTGGATTTTTCTGTACACGCCTTCTGAAGTTGACTTTTTTTTTTTTAAATCATACTCTCCTATTTGATAGCTTGATTGGACAGAAATTTCTTGTTTCTGGTTTCATTTTTTTCTTGGGTTTGAAAATATTCACTGTTGGCTACTGAAAAAGCTGATGTCAATCTTATTTTTTATCCTTGACTGAAATCTTTTATTCCTCCCTGTAAGCTATTACCATAGCATTTTTAATTTTCTGTCTAGCAAGGTCTTTATCTCTCGTCTTTGGTATGCTACAGGTCCTTTCAAGCTGAGGTTTTTTCATCTCATCATTTTTATTTGGGGAAATTTACCTATTTCTTTACCCATTTCTCATCTCCACTTTTATCCCTTTCCTTTCCTTCTGGGATTCTAATCAAATGTATTATTTGAGTGGTTTCTTTAGGAATGCACCCACATGTTTCACACAGCCAAGTCCCGACCCTCCTTTTGGGTGGTGTGAGGACACTGAGGCAGCTTCCCCCCACTCACCCCCCTCCCCCGGACACATGTAATTGTGAGATCCTATTTTAACTTGATGCTTTAGGTTTTAGCCCCCTAGACACATTATTATTCTTGTTATTCAGTGTTTGCTGAGCTTCCATAATTTTTGTTCTTTAGTCCTACAACTGCAAACTTTCACCTAGGATCAGTTCCTTCTAGCAGAGGTACATCTGTTAGTGCAGGTATGTGAAAGGTACCTGTTTCAGCTTCCCTCTTGAAAGATATTCTTGCTGGGTGTGTGATTCTAGGCTGGCAGTGAATCTTTCTGCACATGGAAGGTCTCATTGATTGTTTTCAAGCTCCCATTATTGTGGATAAGAGTTGCCGGTCTGCTGTTCCTTGGAAAGTCATGCCTTTTTAAAAATCTGTTTAATATTTTCTTTTTGAGTTAGTTTTAACAGCTTCACTGTAGGTGTGGAAAATTCTTGTTTTCTTGTCAGATGTGGTCTCTTTGTTTCCACACCTGGATCTGTGCTGCGCCTGCTCTAGAGCTTGCAAGCAGGGGTTGTGTTCCCGAGACTCTGCCGTCTGGCCAGTGCACAGGGCTGCTGGGAGGCTGCTCTGGTCTCCCTCTGGGTGGGGGGTGGCAGCCTTTTCATTCTGTCTTATCTTTTCCATATTTTGTCTCTAGCTTCAGTTCTTGATCATTTCTTCTAGCCTCTCTTCCATTGATGAATCTAATTAAACCTTCCCATGAAGTTCCCAGTCTCAGCTATTTTATCTTTCCCATGTGTAATTCCTGTTTTGCTCTGTGAAATCTGCTTTGCCTGGTTTTATAACTTTGTTTCTTGCAGTTATGTTCACATTTAGTGTCAGTCTGTCTATAAAGTTTCTGCACAGGACTTTCTGCCATCTCCTAGGGCCACAGCTCTTTACTGTGGGGTCTCTGGTTACCATGCCACGGTGTCAGCCACCTAACAGTGTCCGCTGCATGTGGATAGCGCCCCCAACCTCCTACGGCTGTTGCTCACTTCCTGTCTGGCCCGGCAGCGACCCCCGCCCATCCACTTGCCCCCTTCTCCATTTCCCTCTCCTGCCTGCTCTTCTCCCCGACTTGCAGCCCATGGGTGCCCTTCACAGCCCCACTCACGGCAGTGGGTACTTCTTCCACAGCAGCTTGGCTGGCAGCGTCTGGTACACTGTCTTCTGCTTCCCTTCCAAGCTGGGGCTGCTCGGGCTGCTTTGCACAATCTTGGCGCACTCCATCTGTTCATCCCACGAGCCTGACAGCACGTAGTGAGCCTCGCCCTGGCTGTCACTCACCACTCCTGTCACCTGTGGACATGAGCAGGGCCAGCATGGGCACAAGCCTCTCCAGGCCCTGAGTCTCTGGGAGGTGGCCTTCCTTACCTTCCGAGCTACATCTTTGGAGAAGTAGCTGTAGGGCAAGAACTTTAGCTGGCATCGGTCCTTCGTCTTATGATTCACGATCTCGATGTCCCCTGTCTGGAGAAGGACAGTGGTCAGTGGCTAATCACTAAGCTGTCAGCCCCCTCCCTGAGGATACCGCTCTAACCTGGTCAATCCAGAGTTTGCCCACAATGATGTTATGCACCGTTGAGGTGCTCTTCCTCCACACGTAGTGATTCCCACTGGTCTGGAATTCTAAGTGGATGGCACCTGGAGGCCAGAGATGGGGTCAGTCATGGTCTGCCAGGGTGGGCCCCAGCCAGCCTGCCCACAGTCCCAGGGCCCTGAGAACCAGGAGCAGTGCTCGTGCAGACCAGAGGCCAGGCCACAGGCCAGCGAGGCCCACGCAGTGGGGGCACAGACCTGCACAAAGACTAATGTCGCCCTTGGAGGCCCCAAACTGGCTCTGGATTGGTCACCCGGAGGACCCTAATCCAGGATGTCTTTCTATTTTAGGGGAACACAGGGCCCCAGCTTACCTAGCGGCATGATGGAGAGGTATTTCCCCCGGAACTTGCTGGAGATGGTGATCTCCTGCCACAGACTCCAGCCGTGCTTGGAGAACACATAGTGCGCGGCCGATGGTGGGTGGTGGCTCACCTGAGACCGGACCCACAGGACATGAGCATCTGCAGGCCACGGGCCCAGACCTGCCTGTCCTGTGCCCGGTACACACAGCTCTGTGGCCCTGAAATGACCACACTGTTCCTCTGGGTGCCCAAGGCAGGCCCCCAGACAGTGTGTCCTCAGCAGGAAAGCATGAGGGAGGCAGCCTGGGCCTGCCCTAACCTGATGTGGGCACGAGCCGAGGACTGGTGTCTCTGTACCGGCTCTTGTGGCTGTGAAATGGGGGTGACAATAAAGCCTGGACCTCAAGGATGGACTATGACAGACTACACAGGGACTGGTAAAGTGAGGCGTTTTGCTCCACTGAGGGCTTTTGTGCTGCAGTTAACCTTCCCACATGCCTGCAAAGGTGTGCTTTGTGCCATGTTATACGAAGGAAGCCCAGACTAGGGAAGCCACTTTAACTCAGGTAACTGTTACTCCCTCAGATATGTCTAGAATCAGCCCCTTCACACACCCTCCCCGCCCCAGACCATGTGGATAGGAACAGAAGCCATTGCCAGCCCCCTGCTCCACTTGTATGCCTGTGCTCCATTCTCCCCACCAGCTGGGTGTCACGCCTCCTTCACCCCACTGTGACCACTGCCCACATAAATCCAGGGTCTGCAGGCTGCCTCCAGTTTGCCCCAACTGCTGCTCTGTCCATGGCATCCCCTTTCTCTCTGATCACCCCTTTTCTGAAAGAGCCAGAAACATCCGCACATGCCTGCATCTGCTGCTGCCCCACGACACGCACACCAGATGACACCCCATTGGTTGCATCGCAACTTCCCGCACCATCAGCATCCAGCCCCATCTGACTGACATGGCACCTGCCAGTGCAGCTGAACGAAGAAATGCGTTCACCCAACAGTCGGACCACACTTGCCTCTTCCCTGCATTTCTCACCCCAAAGTCCAGGACATCAGCAAACCCAGCAGCTCCACCTCCCACACAGACCCACGCTCTGACCACCCACCTCCCCGGCCTGGCATTGCCTTTGAAACTGGGCACTGGACTCTGACCTGCCTGTTTGGTGAGCTCAACGCCGGGGCCCTGTGCAGTGCCTGGCACACAGCAGATGCCAGGCCCTGTGCAGTGCCTGGCACACAGCAGATGCCAGCCTGGAATTCACTCCTGGGCGACTTCATGCAGCGCAACCCACCCGAGCCCTCCCCTTCATTCAGGCACCAACAGAGTTGCTTCTTTCCAGATAGGCCTCTAGGGTTCAGAGGTCACTGCTGAGGTTCCCAGCCCACGTGCCTGACTTCGGTTCTCCATGAGGGGAATAAGCGTCTCAGCAGGGAAGCCGTAGAGAAGGGGTGGAGAAAATGGAGGTGAGCTCGCCCCAGCTGTCATTAACCAGGGCCCTGCCGGGCACAGTCTCCTCCCCACCTGGTGCCTTCTGGCTCAGTGATGAACCCAAGTTCTGGCCCTCACTGCCTCCTGGGCAGCGTGCTCTTGGACGGGGCCCTGGATTGATGGCCCTTTGGGAGAATGTGTCCCACTCATCTTGCTCCGACCCTGGGCCAACGGGAGCGGCTTGGCTGGAGTCGGCCTCACCTGCTCACAGATGGAACGCAGGCCCATGTCATCAAGGCGGTCCAGCTCGAAGGTCTCCCCCAGCATGGGGTTGAACGGCTTGGCGATGCGGTGCACAGTGGTGGAGTAGGAGGACACGGAGAAGGCCGCCACCAGGCACATCTGCTCCACTGGGTTGGTGCAGTGCACCGCCTTGTCCAGCAGGTGGTGGTACTCCAGGTCCTCTGTCAGCCGCTGGAGCATGGACAGGGGCTCGTTAAAGTTGACCTGGTGGGGTGGGTAGATGGTGAGGACCCCAGGGCCCGCAGGCTGCCCAGCTGCAAGGCTGAGCCGAAGCTGCTGCTTCTGGCACCCTTGGGTCGGCAGAGCACCCTTGCTTTGCCCAGAGGTTCCGGGACACACCAATTGGAAGGCCACGTCTCTTCTGGGCCAAGCTCTTCTGGGGCCTAACCTAAAGCCACAGCCCCGCCCCTGCGCCGCCCCGCCCCTCCTGCCTCGGTTTCCCCACAGCCTGCAGGACTTCTGACGTGCTGTAGCGCATCCACCTGCACTGCGTTCACCGGCAGGCTCCTCTCCTGGGATGGAACTCCGCGAAGGCCGGGGCTCTGAATCTTAAAATGAGGGACTGAATGAATGAGTGGATGGCTGAAGCAGGTCGGCTTCACATTCTGAGCTATTGTGCTAGTTTCCTGGCAGGGCTCCGCGCGGGGTCCCCATCTTTGTTAGGGAAGGGCAGGATCACTTTCACTGGGGCCAGCCATCAGGCAGGGTCTTTCTGTGCGCTGTGAAGTGGGTCACGGGTCATGCGAGACACCAAATTTGTTCTGGAGCCTCAGAACTTCCTCTGGAGAAGCCACTGTGGCTTGGCAGCACAAAGGTCAGCTCTGCCCTCAGCCTCTGGGGATGGCTCTGGACGGCTCCGGGCATGGAGGCGGGCCGCCCGTCCACACGTACTGCCCGATCCTGTAACCCTCTGGGAGGTCGGGACACTGGGACACCGCGAGGCCAACGGAGATCCACGGGTGGACTGTGTGGATCTCAGCTGGCTGTAGATTCCCCTCCTGGCTCCTTCCCTCATTGCCTGAGGTTGGCGTTTGCAGTGCCGGTGGGCATGATTCAGGCATCGGTTACATACTGCTTTGGTGCCATTAAAAATGACACTGGGGGCCTCCCTGGTGGTGCAGCGGGTTAAAGCACTGCACTAAGAAGCTTAAGCCACTTCTGCATGAGTTCGATCCCCGCCTGCCCCGGAGGAAATCCACATGGCGTGGCAGACCTCTCCTGACCTGCCTGCTGCTCCCCTCAGCAGTGTACTTCGTCCATCTGCCTGTTCTGCTCCCCACTCTGTCTCTGGTGAATCCTCTCACCCACCGCATCTCTGGCCTGTACCCCAGTTCTGTATGAGTGAATAAATCTTTAAAAAAAAAATGACACTGGGGCTGCTTGAACTTCTCACAGGCCACCACTCCTCATGCATGCACAGGACCCCGTGCATGCACGGGAAGACCCCCTCACTGCCCCACCCACCACGGCTGCCCTGCTCTAGCTGCCTACCGGCATGGGGATTTTGGAAAGCTCCCGGCCGATGCAGTTCTTCATGATGCTCCACAGATTGAGACTGTAGTTGGGCTTGTCGGGGATGCGGGCACGCCTCTTGACTTTGGGGGCTTCCTTGGGCACAAGTGAAGCGCCATCTAGCATCTACCAGACAAGCAGGGTACACACATCAGCAAAGACCAGAGCATTCTCGGGGTACACCAGGCCTCACCTTGACCTCGCCCAGCAGCCCCTTGGGTCCAGCCAGCCACTGGCACGCTGCCTAGAGGCTGGCTCTGCTGAACTCTCCATGGAGGCAGGTCAGGAACCCAGAGGCAGCCACGGGGGCCCTGAGCTTGAGGTGCTACCTCTCCCCCACCCCTCAGCCACCCTCAGGTACTTCGACCTCACTTACATTGTCAGGCGAGGTCCAGTCCACAGGACCTGTCCCTGTCCCACCCTCAGCTTTTCTGCAGGAAACAAAAGGAGGGGATGAGTTATTTACAAGTCCTGGGGCCTCTTCAGGGCTTGGCCACCTTCTGTCCATCCCCTCAGTGAGGTCTGGGACGCAGCTCATCCCAAGGCTGCTGCTCCAGAGGGGGTGTCTAATTAAGGACACTCGGGGGGGGGCGTTGAGGGGTCCTGGGTAGCAATTAGAAGGAACGCCCACCCTCAGGGTCCCTGCACACACCCCCCTCCAGGGAACTGGCTGACCCAGATGTGCCCAGGGGTGGGCTCCTCCTCTGGAAGAGCCCACCGTGTCCTCGCTGACTCCCTCACCAAGCTGGAGCTCTAGAAGGGCAGGATGCAGGCTGGGTGCATCTCTGTGTAGTGAACACGTGTGGCGGGGTTGGCCAGAATAGCTACCTGGAAGTGCTATGGCTGAGGAGCCCAGGCTCTGTGGAAGCCCCAAGGAGGGTGACCTGGGCCAGCTGGGGTTGAGGGCATCTGGCAGACAGGCCTCAAGGGATGGGAAAGAATCACCGTGCCGTTACAGGGGACAGGCACGGCGCTGCAGATAGTGGGCAGGGGGCCTGTCACGCCCTTGCAGCTGCAGCCCAGGAAGGGGGCCGGCTGGGCCTCCAGAGCCATGAGAAGTGCTGGGCATGAGCAGAGGCTGGGGCTTCTTCCACCAACAGAGGAAGAGGCGAGGGAGCCAGCCTGCAGGGCCCTCCTGGCTGCGGGACATTCACAGCGGCTAACAGCAGCTAAGCCATGCTAGTTTTAAGAGCCACAGAAGTCATTTAAGAGTCAATGGAGAAGAAGAGTGATTCTGAGTGGGAAATATACTGCAGTGAGACTGGAAAGGCCCCGAGGGGGCAAGAGGGATCTGAACAGCTCTTGCCCTGAAGGAAACTGGGACAGTGGGCGTAAAGCACTGTGCTCCACACGGGCACGAAAAAGAGTGGCCAGGGCTTTTTGCCTGCTGCTCCCCACTGGGATTCGGGGGGTCTGGGCGGCAGTAGAACAATATGGTGCAAGGCTGCTGACAGGCTAAGTGCTCTACCTGCTGTGCACATTTGTGGGGAGCATGGGGCATCCCGAGACTGGCACAGTCCCTGGGTGCATGTGACATGGGGCAGCACAGGCTGTGGTCAGTTATGTCACTGTCCCGGGCCCCAGCTTCCCAGGCCAGACAGGGGCTCCAGACATCTGTGGGGCTCCAGACATCTGTGGGGCTCCCTAGCCCACGGCTGCCATCCTCACCCACCCTGTCATAGATGAAGACCGTCAGTGATTTGATGGAAATAAAAGGTTCTAATGAGGCTTGAACCACTAGTCACAGTGAATCCACACTCAAGCCCTTGGTGTTTCCCTCTGACCCGTGTGCAGCTGCCTCTCCCCTCAGCACCAGCGTGGCCCCTCCACGGGCTCATTCTGAGGTACCCAGAGCACCTGACAGATCATGTTCGGGGCTAATAGATGTCCCGGCTATGCTTCCGTGCTCAGATCTGTATTTAAGCATCCTGACAGCGCAGGCTTTTATGAAAAGCAAAACAAAGGCTTCTTAGGAATAGAAAATAAAAGAGCCCCTGCAGGGCCACGTTCTGGAATGCTGGCGTGAAGGGGGTGGTCAGGGCTCTGAGCACCTCTGAGATGAGAGTGAGCAAGCGGCAGCCTTCAGGGGCTCCCTGCTCCCTAGCCCCTGGAAATGGATTCAGCCAATGCCCAGTTTTCAAAACAACAAAATCTGGAGCAAGATTTCAAAGAAACAAAAACCCAAGTGCAAAGAACAACTGGAGTGGGATAACGGGGTGAGGAAGGCCGGTTGGAGGGGCTCCGCCGTCACCTGTCCTCCTTGGCCTGCGTGATCACGGTGATGAAGGACGTGGCGTCTTCCATGGCGTCAAAGTACTCGGTATCTTCATCTTCCTCACTGTCTTCTCCTTTGGGAGTCAAGAGGCTTCCTGCAGACACATGCAGAGATTCTGCCCAGAGCCTGTGGCGCCCCCCCCCAGCCCAGCCCCCCCCTTCCACACTCCAGCCCCTCCATTCCCATCTCCGGGTCCTGGCTAATCTGGCTTGCTGCCCTTGCTCCCTGTTCTAGCATGTTCTTTTCTCTCACCTCTGGCACAGACCTCCCTCTTCCCCTGCCCTCTCAATTCGTGGACCCCTTCCCTCGCTGACAGTCCCCCTTCCTGGGGTACGCAGGACCCCTTGCTCCAGGTGAGGCGGGCAGCGCCCTGGCCTCTGGGCTAGCCCCAGCCAAAGGGCTGGCTGAACTCACAGAACTTTTGAGAACTGGAACTAGACACGGAGACTGCCGCCAGGGGGAGGTGGGTGTGGAGAACACACAGCCGTAGAGGCAGGCCAGAGCTGGCCAAGACCAGCATGTGAAGGGCTGTGCTGTCGGGGCGGTGCCAGGGGACAGGCCAGCAGCCTGAGCCAGACGCAGGGGCCCGTGCTCTCACCCTCACTGAAGCTCTTGGCAGGGTTGGAGGCCCGGCCGGGAGCACTGCGGAACGCCCGCTCAAGGCTGTTGTGCTGCTTGGCTAGCTGCTCAATGGTCTCCTCCAGATGGACACGCTGCTCTTGCTCATACTGCAACGCCCGCTGCCATTTCCGGCTGTGTGTCTCCGCTAGTTCCAGGAAGTCCCTGCAGGCCTGGGGGGCGAACAGTGGCCCCTGAGACCAGAGCCGGCCGAGGCCTGTGTTCCCTCCGCCCCCGCTCCCACTCCACACCCCCCTCGCTGGGGCAGGGCCGGGAGGAAGGTCCTGGGTGCTGTCTCCCTCCCTCTGTCATCACGGGGTAGTTGTGAGCATCTTTGCTGTCTCCTCTGGCCTCTCTGGGGTCCTGGCTTTCTTGGAGCCCGCTCCGGGACTGGCCTCCGCCCTGGCCAGCCTCCTGGCCGGGATGCTAGTGCAGGGTGTCAAATCCAGCATGTTGCCAGTCGGCCAGGCCAGCAGCAGCTGGGGCCCGAACCTTCCGCTGCCGCTGCCGCAGCTGCTGGAACTCAGGTTTGTCATGACCGCTGTCGCTCCTGACACCCGAGGCTAGCTTGGTTAGATGCCGGCTCTGGCACAGGAGGGTGAAAGCCACCTTCTGCCACACTAGTCGGCTCCGAGAGGTAATGAGTCTTGTCTGGCAGAGCAACTGGAGTTTTCCACCAGGTTGCCTCGTAATCGGCATCCCATGACTACTTTTAAGGTCCCCCCTTGAAACTCGTGGCCTACAACACCCGGATGCTTTTCAGCTTCCTGGGCTGGTAGGTGGCTCCCCCTCTCTTATGCAGCAGGAGTGGTCATTTCACCTGTCATCACAGTGGAGGGCAGTGAGGTCCAAGGCAGGGGCCTCTGGATTTGCGGGCTGGCGCCTCCCCTCAGGCCAAGCCTGCAGACCCTGCCGCACCCCTGCACCCTTCCCGCCTCTGCACGCCCCACATACATCTAACCCTGAGGGCCAGAGATGTGTTTCCCCAGGGGAAGAGGGGGGCCCGGCCCTCATCAGGGGTGTGGACAACAATATCTTGACGAGCTGTGGGAGGAACCAGGAAGTGATGGGGTGCGCCAGGTAAAGGGGTGCCTGATACACTCTGTTGGGTGCTGCCGCCGCTTCTGTAGGGCACTGGGTGTGGGGGCTCCAGGGTATTGGCTGGATGAGCATGCACCCCACTAGGACAGGCCTCCAAAGGAAACAGGCTGGGCCAGCACCCCGCTGCAGTGCTGCAGGCCTGGGGGCGTCGTCCTGAGAGCAGACTCAAAGCCTCGTCCTTACTGGGTCTGCACCAGCAGGTTAGAAGATGGCAGTGGGTGCGGGATCGGGGCAGGGTACCCCTCTGGATACCTCAAGAACTTTCTAGCGCTTGCCAGAGCACTGTGAGTCGAGTGTGGAGGTGCCCACCTCATCCCACAGTTGGTGGACTCAGGCTCTCAGGTCAAAGAGCAGGAGGCAGCAGAGCGGTGGTCCCAGCCCCCCAGCCCAGGGCGCTCTGGGCCCGGCTACTGCTCCTGGCCCTTGCTGCACGTCATCCCTGAACTCAGCCCAGTGCCCAGACCAGCCTCTGCTCCTGTCACCTGTTGGCTGACGGAGGCAGGAGCCTCCACCCTGGGCGCCACTGAGGGCTGCCGCCTGGGGAGCCCTGGCGCTGGGGAAGCACCCGGGCCCTGCGCACACTGCTCCAGGGAGCTCCTTCGGGCTCCTCCTGTCCTGGAGACCCAGGTCAACAAGGGCAAGCGGCCAGGTTCCAGTGTCGCGCCTGAGGGCCATGCTCGCCTCAAGGCCACTTCCGCACAGAGCACAGCCCCTTTTGAGGGAGGTGCAGGGGCCCTGGCTGTGGCAAGCACTGAGCCTTAATGCGGGCAGAGACATGTCCCAGGCTTCACGGTTTTCTGAATTCTTACTGGTCCGAGGGTGCCCTGTCTGATGGACAGTGTCGCCTATGCCGCTCGACTGCCCAGCCGCAGGGCTTCTTCCCTCCCTCAGCTCCGCTGTAGCTGCGGCCACCCCTCCCTGCCAACCTGTGACCATCTGCCACTGAGCCTTGACATAGATAGTTGCTTTCCTTCCACGTAACTCAGGGTGTTTCAAACAAAGTAAGAACCATAAAACAGAATAAGACAGTGGCCAAAGGTCCTGGCAAATAACCCCCATGAAGTCATGCCACAGGGCTCTAGGTGGTCTCTGGGCCTCCAAGCAGCAAAAGCAAAAAGGGGAGATAGTCATAGCTTAAAGATGAATTAGGCTCCTTCCCTGTCCTTGAAATTCACAGACATCAACACTTCGGAAATGAGCCTCTCACAGACCTGGCGCCCCACCCCCTCCAACCTCATTTACTGGGGTGCCACCCCTCCCCACACCCACAGGCACTGTGTCTTCCCTTTGCTGGTTCAGCTCCACACAAAGCTGCTGTGCTGATGCCACCCCCTCTCATGTCACTGGGCAGGGCTGTCTGGGGCATCCTCACCAGCACCGAGGTAACAGATCCCCCTGGAGGGGGAAGACAGGCCAGGGGACTTGTCAAGGACTCCCCAAGGCAGAGGGTGTGTGGGCCCAGAGGCCAGGCCCCACGGTCCCAGCTGCACCTCTGCCAGGGCACGCAGCACCCTGTCACCTCCCGTGCCTCGGCGTAGAGAGACTCCATCTCCAGCTGCAGCCAGCTGAGCCAGGTGTGGGCCAGTCACGTGGCTCTCAGATTTTGGGGCTCCCAGCTGGGCAGGTATCTGGACCCCTTTGCTCTTTGGGTTGCTGGAGCTGAGGCCACTTCCCCACACTCACCCCAGCATATGGAGCCCCACACGGTAGATTACTGACTCCTGCCTCTCTCTGGCCTGGGGTCCAAAGGCGGCGAAAAGGAGGAAACCTGCAAGGCCGCACTGACAC